TTTTTTTTGGTTTTTCTTCTCATGCTTTAAAAACTAGCTGGAATTAAAGGGAGCACTTCTCATGCATAAATACTTTCCTGATTTTCCTCATCAAAAGCACTCCTCTCTGTTGCTCTCCCTGGGATTTTGTTTGTTGTTGTTGTTTGAAGTATCTTTCCCTGCGTTCTCTCCTGCCATTTGCTTCCCTGGTCATCTAGGTTCTTCATGTGAAGGTGTGTCACACTGACTTCCTACTGGCATCAGACACACGAACTAGTAAATGTAGTGGGATCTTATTGGTGTTTTACCTTCATTCCCAGGGCTATCTCTGTTTTTGTTTGTTTGTTTTTTGAGGCAGAGTCTCACCTTGTCCTCAGTTGATTACTGTAACATCATCGCTCACAGCAACCTCTAACTCTTGGGCTCAAGAGATCCTCTTGCCTCAGCCTCCCGAGTAGCTGGGACTACTAGCGCCTACCACAGAGCTTGGCTATTATTACAGACAGGGTCTCATTTTTGCTCAGGCTGGTCTTGAACTGCTGATCTCAGGCAGTCTACCTTCCTCGGCCTCCCAGGGTGATGCTATTACAGGCCATTCCCAGGTCTTTCTAAAGAGTTTTCCTTTGTGTAGGCATTATTGTCTTGTCCTTAGGGCAGATAAGGTTGTTGGACAATGTAGTATTCCAGCCAGAATACAAAATAATATTTCCAAAATAATGTCTGTTTTCTAATTTAAACTTATCATAAATAGATTCTGTACTTTTAATATTACATAGTAATAAATTTACCAAGTTTTTCAAAGATAGAATTTTTGTGCCTCAGCACAGTCCTAGCACTCTGGGATGTGGAGATGGGAGAATCACTTGAGCTCAGGAGTTCAAGACCAACCTGACCAACAGCGAGACCCCAACTCTACTAAACATAGAAATATTAGGGCGGTGCCTATGGCTCAGTGAGTTGGGTGCCGGCCCCATATACTGAAGGTGGTGGGTTCAAACCCGGCCCCTGCTAAACCGCAACAAAAAGATAGCAGGGCATTGCAGCAGGCGCCTGTAGTCCCAGCTACTGGGGAGGTTGAGGCAAGAGAATCACCTAAGCTCAAGAGCTGAAGGTTGCTGTGAGCTGTGACACCACAGCTCTCTACCGAGGGTGACGAAGTGAGACTGTCTCTTAAAAAAAAAAAAAAA